GGAGAGGCTGAGGACCCAGGAATTGCTTAGTCTGCAGGGCTAGGTGCTTCAACAGTCCCAACCCAACACCAAAAACCTGGAAGGTTCCTGGAGAGCCAATGGTCCATAGCCAGAGTTTCAGAAATGGTGTTCTGATATCAGTGAAGAAATCAGCAGGCTGTTGAGTGGATGAACTCTGAGACAAGAGGGAAAGACGAGCCAGCAAAATGACAGTAATCCTCCTCCTGTCCTTTTAAATCTGGATGGCGACCAGAAGGTGCCACCCCCACTGCTGTGAGCCTTCCCACATCAGCTTAGCAATCAGGACAATTCTCCAGTCGAGGCTCCCTAATCAGGTGATCCCAATTTGTAGCAAGTTGACATTAAAACCAACCATAATAACATCTAGTAGTTTTATTTTATATTCTCCATTATTAAGGGCGTGAAGGAATACAATTACGACATCTTCCCAGTTGATTGTTCTTTCAAACAATATAAACTATTCCTTTATGCGCTCATTGCAACGTGACCCCTTCTGCTTGAGATTGTGTCTAAGCTATATTACACACTTTAATACAGTTACACTTATTTCTCAAGCCTGTTTCTTTTCACACATCTGCTCTTTGTGGCTTTGTAAACAGGTTTTACTATAAATTATTTACCTCTATATAATATCCATTCTTCTGCCTTAACTTCAGAGTTAATGTTGCTAGTTCTTGATGGGACATGTGGTGACTTGGAGCAGAATGGCCACTGGGATGGATGTCAATATGGTACCAGCTAGAGTCATCTGAGAGGATGGAGCCTCAATTAAGAAAATTCCTCCATAAAATCGGGCTGTAGGCAGGCCTGTAAGGCATTTTCTTAATTGGCAATTTAATAGAAGAAGGTTCAGCCCATTATGGGTAGTGCCATCCCTGGGATGGTGGTTCTGGGTGCTATTTAAAAAAAAAAAAAAGCAAACTGAGCAAGTCATGGGAGCAGCCCAGTAAGCAACACTCCTCCATTGTATTTACACCACTCATGCCTCCAGGTTTCAACCCTGCTTGACTTCCTGTCTTGACTTCCTTTGATGATGGACTATGATGTGGAAGTATAAGCTAAACAAACACTTCTTCCCCAATTTGCCTTTTAGTCATGGTGTTTCATCAAGACAAATAAGACAGCTCCCAGAGATTCATATGTTTGAATTCTTAGGTACCAGTTAGTGGAACTGTTTGGAAAGGATGCTGGAGGAGGTGTGACCTTGTTGGGAGACCAAGGCACCAGGAGTGGACTTGGAGGTTTTCAAAAGTCCATGCCACACCCAGTCTCACTCTCTTAGTCTGCTGTCTGCAGATCAGGGTATAAAACACTTAGCAACTGCTCCAGCATGATGTCTGTCCAGTGCCCATAATGATGATCATGTATTCACCCTCTAAAACTGTAAGCAAGCCCCAAACTAAGTATTTTCTTTTATGAGGGCTGCCTTGGTCATGGTGTCTCTTCACAGCAATAGTGACTAGGACGGGTCATATGAGAGCTTCCTACAAATCCCTGGATCCCCTTCACATTGCTATTAAGTGATAATTTTGACCAACCCTACAAATATTTACCCCTCACCTCTTCCCACTTTTGTTTGTTCTATAATTCTCTTCTATTGCTCCATCACTATAAAGAATTCCTCCAAATTTCCAGGTTTAAGGGTGATGACAGGTTTTGCAACAGAATATCATATAAACTGGAGTTCCTTGACTACGGGGGGAAGAGTTCTTCCCCAGAGCATATATTATAGGATATCTAGCCAACAGCACCCTTGACCTTCATCCAGCAGATACCAGTAGATACAAGTAGCTTCACCCATTAAGCAATAGTCATCAGAATGCTTCTGCCCATGGTTAAATGTCTCTACAGAAGCTAATGTCCCTGGCCAAGAGCCATTGATGTCCAAATTATCCATCCTTTCCTATTTTCACTGTAGCTTTTGGAAGGACAGGATGGTGGATTTCATCCAATGCCTTTTGGCATATGTTGTGATTTGATTGAGGAATGTCCCCCATAGACTCATGTGTTTGAACAGTTGATCCCCAGAGGTAGTACTGTTTGAAAAGGTTATAGGAACTTTAGGGGGTGGAGCCTTACTAGAAGTGTGTCACTGGAGCAGGCTTTGGGAGTTTATAGCTTTGCTCTACTTCTTGCACCTAGCACCCCTCAAGTGTGGATGAAAATGTCACCAGCCAGCTTCCTGCTCCTATCTTCAGGCCATGCCATGCCATGCTTTCCCTGCCATGATGGACTCTCCCTCTGAAACCATGAGCTAAGATAAACATAACAACAACAACAACAACAACAACAACTTTCTTCTGTTGAGGCATTTTATCAAAGCAACAGAAAGAAAACCAATAACTATATAATTTCAGATTTTTCTCCAGTGACCTACTGATATGATACAGTTTCAGTCTCCTAACCTAGTACCTTCCTTGCCATAGTGAAATAAAGTTTAATGCTCATGGTACACGTGTTTAATACACAGTGATGCTTTTCTAAATTATATTCATATTGACATTTTGAAATGCAAAGCTGGCCAGTAGTTTTCCTTACTTTTTGCTAGCTTATGATGTAAAGATTGCCCTTGATTGCTAAGCATGACTGTTGATTTCACTAACATCACATGATATAGGATCACCTTGGAGAGAAATCTCTGGTATTATCAATGAGAGACTTTCTAGATTATATTAAATGAGATGGGAACACTCACTTTAATTGCAAATAAAATGGAGAAATTATCTGAATGCCAGTTTTCACCTCTCTCTGCTTCCTGACTGTAAGGCAATGTGACCAGTGCCTCCAGCCCTGCCTCCATGGCTTCACCAAGATAAACCTTTCCTTTCTTAAGTTGCTTTTGTCTGATAATTTGTTGCAACAATGAGAAATGTAACCAATATAGTAATGTTGCCATCTACATTACTATCACCATAATTTCCTGTTCCTTCAAAGATTCACATGAATTGCTTCTACAAAATTCCTTTTTAAACATGTTTTTTTACTTAAGATTTCTTTTATTTTATGTATATGAGTGTTTCCAGCACATATGCATGTGTACCATGTGCATGTGGTACTTATGGAGGCCAAGAGAGGGCACTATATCCCCTGAAACTAGAGTTACAGGTGGTCATGTGTTACAGGTGGGTGCTGGGAATCAATCCCAGGTCTCCTGGAAGAGCAGCCACTCAACCACTGAGCCATTTCTCCAGCCCTGTGTTCCTTCCTTCCTTTCTTTTACCTTTCACTATTGCACACTTAAAGTTAATCATTTAATGATGTGGGATCCCCCTTTGTAGGCTGTGAGTACCACTGGTTAATAAAGAAGCTGCTTTGGCCCTATTGCAGCGCAGGATAGGGCAAGGCTGGAATTCCAAGAAAATAAAGGAGGAGAGAGTAGGTGGAGTCAGAAAGAAGCCATGTAGCTGCCATAGAAGACAGACACTGATGCCAAACAGAATCTTACCAGTAAGCCACAACCACATGGTGATACATAGATTAAAAGAAATGGGTTAATTTAAGATATAAGAGCTAGCCAATAAGAAGCGTGAGCTAATAGGCCAGCCAGTATTGTAATAATACAGTTTCTGTGTGATTATTTCCAGTCTGGGTGGCCAAGAAACGAACATGCATTCTCCACCAACAATAAACTTTCCTAGATCATTCATTTCAATAACACTTCCTGTGCTAATATGTACCTGTGTCTGTCTCCTTTAACTTTTCAAAATTCATGACTCCTTTTCGTTTATAGTATTGTTACGTATATTTCCATCACAGGTCAGATGTCGTCAGTGACTTCTACTTCTTTGTTTTAGTAGTCTACTATCTGTCTTCAGCTCACTAAATTATGTCTCCTCATCATCAGTACCACCCAGGGTTTGTTTAGTTGCCATATGTGGTTGTTTGAAAGAAAATGGCCCCCAGAGGTCCATAGGGAGTGGCCCTACTAGGAGGTGTGGCCTTATTAGAGTAGGTGTGGCCTTGTTGGATGAAGTGTGTCACTGGGGATGGGCTTTGAGGTTTCAAATGCTCAAACCCAGTGTTACTCTCTCTTCTTGCTGTCTTCAGATCTGGATAGAGAGTTCTCAGCTACTTCTCCAGTGCCATGTCTGTCTGCCTGTCTCCATGCTTCCCATCCTGAAGACAATAAACTAAACCTCTGAACTATAAGCCAGACCCCAATTAGATGTTGTCCTTTGTAAGAGTTGCTGTGGTCATTGTGTCTCTTCACACAATAAAACCCTAACTAAGACACTACATTTCTCATTTCTTGTGAATTAAAAGTTTAATTTGTGTGTTTCTAAATCAACATTCAATAATGCTGATATTTAAGAGTCTGTGATTGATTCTGAGAGCATCTTTTTCTGAGTACAGATGAACAACATACTCTTTCTCTTTTCATCTCCCAACGAGTCTCCTGACACAAGAGACTTTGGCTGCTGTCCTTCTTGAGTAAGTTTTGTCTTTCTCTCAGCACTGAGAAATGAATGCAAAGAGCCTTGGAAGTGCTGATTATATACTCCACCAGTAGACTATGTCCCACTTCTTTCTATTTTTTGTCTGTCTATCTATCTGTCTGTCTGTCTGTCTGTCGGTCTGTCTGTTTTGATACAGAGTCTCACTAAGTACTCCAGGCTGGCCTTCAATGTACTCTGTAACCCAGGCTGACCTCAAGCTCACGATTGCCCTGCTCTGGCCTCTCAAGCTGGAATGACAAACTAGTACCACCAGGGCCCAGAATAATTTTTTGCTCCTTAAAGATTTCCATGGATTTCCTCTGAAAACATCTATTTTAACACCTTTCCCCCCTTAAAATTTACTGGAAAACATCTATTTTAACACATTCCCACCCCCTTAAAATTTACTGGAAAACATCTATTTTAACACCTTTTCCCCCTTAAAATTTACTGGAAAACATCTATTTTAACACATTCCCCCCCCCTTAAAATTTACTGGAAAACATCTATTTTAACACCTTTTCCCCCTTAAAATTTACTGACCTTTATTTTGTTGTGCATGTGTACCACATGCATGCAGTGCCTGTGGAGGCCAGAAGGTGGCGTCAGATTCCCTGGAGCGTACATCGTGCTTTGTTGTGCTGTGTTTTCTTTCCGCCTCACCTGGTTCTCAGAGGGACTCTCTTCAACATACAGAGAACCTGTTGATAAAGTAGTACAGGATTTTAAGTGTGTCCAACTTACTTTTCAATCCCTGTCTCTAAATTTAAGATTTTTAGGTCACGAGGCAAGTAACTATTTTCCTGTAGCTACATTTTTTTTCTCTTCCTGCTAAGTCCATGCTGTTTGTTCCCCCAGCTAGTCCTCAGACTCTTTCTCAATAAACACAGGTTTTTCTATCGGGTCACCTAAGACCATCAGAAAACACAGATCCTTATATTACAATTCATAACAGTAGCAAAATTATAGTTATGAAATAACAGTGAAAATAATGTTATGATTGGGGGTCACCACAGCATGAGGAACTGTATTAAAGGGTCACAGCGATAGGAAGGCTGAGAACCACTGCTCTAACGTGTGTCAAGTGGAGAAAAAAACTAACCAGGACAGCAGGGCAAGCCCTCATGTGCAAACATCAGGCTGGAGACGTGACCAAACATCTCCCAGGTGGTCAGCTGCCGCTAGGAAGGCGTTCATGAAGACACCGTGCGCAAGGTCTTTCTGTTCCCCCTAGTTTGACAGTGGTTGTCATTCCGCCATGGTTTCCAGTTGTAGGTCGTTACAATACTAGCAAAACAGAGAGAGGCGAGGAGGGCTTCAGTGAGTCGGAGGTGCAAACTGGGTGTGTCAAGTACAGGATGTGCAAGCACAGCGACCATGGAGCTTACCACTTATTAAAATTGTGATTGTTCACATAAAGACTCAGCCAGGTCACATATTAGTAATTATCACTGACAATCTTTAACATCAGCTGAAGCCCACAAGTGAAGCAATATCACATCTCCCGGTCTCATTTATCTTACTGCTTATAGCCCCTCAGTGGTCAGCATGCCGCGAGCTTCGTGGACATTTAATTATGAGTGCACCATAAATGTAGCTGACAGGGCAGAGGCTGTGGGGGGATGCCCGGCAAAGGGGTCGCCGTCAAGAGTACTCAGTTGATGTACCCCCCCCCAAAAAAAGGGGACGGGAAAGACCACTTCTCCAGTTTTCCCTCTGCAACTCCCTGCTACCCACTGGTAGCCATCATGACCGGAGGACCCGTCCTGAGGGCTTCTCTGTACTCCTCAGATTCTGAGACATGGCAGCCAGGCTCTCAAACTTAAGCTATGGCTGTGTTCAGAGTGCCCCCCCCCCTGCACCAAACCTGCAGAGTCCCACCCTGTGGGTTCTACTCTTATGCAAACGAAGGGAAGGAGCTACCACTCCAGGCTCCAGGAAGCCCATAACCCTCCCCACCTGGCCCAAATTACTGAGTTGAAGTGGGATAAGAAGACAGCCAGGATCGAGCGTAGTGGTACACACTATAATCACAGCTTCCAGAAAGCAGAGGCTGGAGGATTTTGAGTTCAGGAGTGGCCTGATTGCATCACATTTTAGAGACTAGACTGGGTTACATGGCAATACCTGTCTCAAACATACAAAAAGAAAAGAACGAGAAAAGGAAAATAAAGAAAAATGGCTAGGGTCTGAGATGTAGCTCAGTAGTAAGGCACTTGCCTAGAATCCCCCAGTGAGGTTAGGGTGTGGGTTAAAGGTAGAGCACCTGCCTAGAATCCCCTAGTAAGGGGCTGAGGGTGTGGCTCAATGGTAGAGCATCTGCCTAAAATCCCACCAGTGAGGGGCTAAAGGCATGGCTCAGTGGTAGAGCCCCTGCCTAGAATCCCCCAGTGAGGGGCTGGGGCGTGGCTCAGTGGTAGAGCACTAGCCAAGAATCCTCTAGTGAGGGGCTGGGGTGTGGCTCAATGGCAGAGCCCCCGCCTAGCTTATGCAAGATCCTGAGTTTCATTCCCAGCGATATAAAGGAGTTGGAAGAACCCGTCCTTAAGAGCATCCCACCATTCAGCTGTATCCAAGTACACAGTAAATATCTTTCCAGGAAATCAGAGAAGGGTGACCTTGTATCCTGAGTGATGGAGCAGGAGGCTCTCCGTGTACTTCTAATTAGCTGTGGCTTTGATACACTGGCCAAGGTACCGGGCACTAATAAGGCCGCCAGCCTCTCAGAGTGGGCCCGGGGCTGCCAGATTTCAGAGTGTCATGTTTCAAAGCAAGTGTCCTCCGAGGGACCGAGGTGCAGATTCCTCTGCACCCTGGCAGGCTCATGTGGGGAAGACAGAGCATATAATAAGGGATGCGCAATGAAGGAGCTCTGAAGAGAAAGCTGAAAAGTAGCTATCATGTTGGCAGATAAATTCTACACACAATTATTCATTCCTAGCCCCTTGACATGTAGATTAATGAGTTTGATAACCCAGGCTTCTAGGAAGTAGATTCCGCCCTTCGCAGGCTTTCTCCCCCTCTACCTACAAACAGCAAGCTGGTCTATGGAGAAAAAAACAAATCGATACATTTGCAGTAGCCATCGCTGCCTGCTTGTGATTGGAGCCTTATGTCAAAACTATGATGTGTCTTCTGCCTCCTGGCCTGGGAGGAAACCACAGTCGTCAAAGGGACATGGAAGGGGCAGTAAGCTTCGGATCTCAGACTCCTCTGGGTTCTGGTTTGTTGCCTACACTGGGCATGGGCACTTTCAACGTCAACGCCAAGGGAAAGGGGTTATCTGCCTCACTCCACGCCAGACTTCTCAGTGGTACTGGCCCTAGGTGGTACTCAGTCACCCTCTCAAAAGAGAAAAGGAAAACGCACTACAGGGATGTGGTAGAGGCCCCTAACCCACTCCAGATGTCGCAGGGAAGGATGGGTAAACAGCTATGAGCTTGAACCTGGACTGAGTTCAAATCCTCATAAAAAGAAAATGTATCCAAAGTAGACATGAATCTAGGTCATCAGGTGTGCACATTGTGTTACATGTGATGCCCAAACAGGAAGGTGTGAAATAGTGGAGGTGCCCCAGACTAGGACAGCGCCCTCCTGAGGCTGGGCAGACCACTCAGTGGAGAAAGCTCTTGCCTTGCAAGCGTACAAACTGGAGCTGAAACCCCAGAACCCGCACAGAAGTCTGGAAGTCGTGCTAACTGCCTGTAGACTCAATACTGGGAAAGCAGAGACAGGGTCTGTGGGCCGACCTAGCTGAACCAGCTGGAACTGGCAAACTCTAGGTGTGCTGAGAGACCCTCAATAAATAAAGTAGAAAGCCATCTAGGAAGACACTAGGCATTCGCTTTGTCCAACACAAACACACACACACACACGAGAATATAGTCCTTAAAAGAGACTTCAGAAAAAGTGGGTATGGAAGACAGCAGAACGGGAGATATTAAAAATGGAAGGGAAACACTGAGGCAGTAATGTTCAATAGGAAAGGGGGCAGGGAGATAGACAGGAAGGGATAAGGGAAAATATGCACGAAAATTCCATAAGACCATCTCTCACCTTGTAGGCTAATTCTGAAAAGAAAGAAAAGACTGCGTTCCTAGCGGCAGGTGTGAGGGCCCACACCTGAAATCCGAACATCCAGGAGGCTGAGGCAGGAGGATCGGGGGTTCCAGGCTAACCTGTTTATAGTGACAGCCTGTCAGAAGGAGGAGAGGAAAGAAGGAAGAAAGGAAGGAAGCGAGGGAAGAGGTGAAAGGTGGAAAAATAAGTAAAAAGAAAAAAAACACTGCCTTTTGGTGTCCTCATTAACCGTATGTCTCTAGATCTCAGTCCATTTTTTTTATCACTTTATCCTATGGTTAATCTTCCAAAAATAAAACAGGGGTGGGTAGGCAAGATGGATGAGAGGGAACCCTGACTATCCGAGTTTGAGCCTCAGAAGCTATGGTAGAAGGAAAGGACAGCCTCCTGCAAGTTGTCCTCTGACCTCCACGCAAGTGCCATGGCACACATACACACACACACACACACGCGCACACACACACACATACACACATACACACACACATACACACACACATACACACACACATACACACATACACACACATACACACACATACACATACACACACACATACACACACATACACACACATACACAAACACACATACACATACACACACACATACACACATACACATACACACACATACACATACACACACACATACACACACATACACACATACACACACACACTCAAATCAAATTAAAATGTAACAAAGTTTTTAAAAAAGAATAACTAAGAAGAAAGCACACTCACATCAAACACAGTGTGGGCAGAAAAATACAATAGGCAGCAATCATCAGAGTATGGCCCCACTTGAGAAAGGTTACAAAGTGTGCCACTGGGGGTGGGCTCTGAGGTTTCAAAAGCCCAAGCCAGGCCCAGTCTTTCGGCCCACTGCCTGTGCATCACAACATAGCTCTCAGACACTACTCCAGCTCCAAGCTTGCCTGCTGCCACCCTGATCCCCTCCATGATGATAACGGACTACAACTGTACGCTAGCCCCAATTAAATGTTTGCCTTTATAAGAGTTGCCGTGGTCGTGGTGTCTCTTCATGGCAACAGAGCACTGACTGAGACGGGCAGGAACAGTTTGCTAAGGTCAATGTGCCCACTCACACACCCAACCTTCTCATTTAACTTACGCTAAAAGGGGAGGGACCGAGGGCCTGTGATGCAGAGACAAGGGGTGGGTGAAATGGTGCATTGTAGTAATAAGAGCGGCAGGGCTGCGTCCCCAGCACCCCGGCTGCCCACATGGCTAGCTTATGCCCCGAAATAACAACATACAAACTGTATTCATTTAAACACTGCTTGGCCCTTTAGCTCTAGCATTTACAGGCTAATTCTCACATCCCGATCAACCCATCTCTAATAATCTGTGAGAACCGGTCTTACCGGGAAGATTCTAGCCTAGTCCATCCTGGGTCGGAGCTTCATTGCGTGTGTCTGCCCAGGAGCGGGGCATGGCATCTCTCTCAGGCATCTGCTCCCGAGAGGAGAGCTGTGGAGTCTCTGAGCTCACTTCCTCTTCCTCCCAGCGTTCTGTTCTGTTTACTCCTCCCACCTATCTTCTAAACAATAAAATGGGCCAAGGCAGTTCCTTTATTAGCCAATGACCTTCCTCCATCAGTGCATCAGTGGAAGGGTATGCACTGATCTTGCAAAGAATCTGAGTTTGGTCCCCCGCACCCACGTTAGGCAGCTCACAACCACCTGCAACTTCAGCTCCAAGGGATCCAGTGTTCTGTTCCAGCCTCTGCAGATATCTGTATTCACATCTGCAGAACCATACACAAACATACACAGACACATAAACAAAAATAAAAATATTTTTAAATAGTAAGGATGTATGGAGCAGCAATCCATACATCCATAGGATTCGGCTCATAAAAATCGGATTCTTCGCATAGACCAGTGTAATAAGTGTTTGGGGGAGGTTCAGTTAAATGTCAGACTGACTTCCATCTTGATGCTAAACTGACAGCTGCAGAGCATACAAAGACATGTCTCTCCCTCACGGAACCTAATAACCTTCCCAAAAGTCTTGGGGTGGTGATCACAGGCCTTAAGATTTCACCACTAGAAGTCCAGGATGCTCATTAAATCCAAATATCATATAGA